GTATTAGACAATTTTTTTATTACAAGGAGGTCACAATTACTTATAGTAATTAAATATCAAATTAGATAGCTTGGAGTGTATTACAAAGTTCGAGATATTTTTTTGGAACACTAAGTTAAGTCAATGACACTCGTACAACCACCCAATTTAAAATCTAATGGACAATAGTGATTGTAATATCCTTGTATCAAAAGTTTTCTTGTTTTTGGTGAATAAAAAAACTTATTGTTTTTGTTAGATCATTAAGGAAAGGGTCCCTCCTTTTACTAAAAGAAAACGATCGCTTTGTATCATTGGTTTAAAAAACGGACTGGTGCCCTATCTAGATCAGGCACACCAAAAACTCATCTAAATCGGTGAAGCGGCGATCTGGATCTTGAATCGGCCGAATTGATCAAATTAAGTCTTAAAAAAATCCAAAAAAAATATTAAAATTCATTATAAATGTTGTTTTTTAGGAATCTAATAAGAAATGAGGGTACTACATTATTAAGTTTCATTTTTTTCCTCAATATGCGAATATTGAGAGGTTTTTTCCCTGTATGAACTTATGTTAACCATTAAATTTACATCACACAAAAGAAAAATCATAGAATTATCATGGACAAAGTATATAATCATGCATGGACTACAATAAAGAATTGATTAAATCGATGAAAAAATGGCCACAAAAATCTCGAATTGATGGAAAACCCTAAGCTACTAAAAAAAACGGAAATTATTTCAACCTAACTTACTATAATCCAAAATTATTACGACCTAATTAACTATAATATTATATACTTAAATTAAAATTGTTAGTTTACATTTTATAAATATTTTACTATACAAATAATAACAAAACCAAAATATCTTATAATATCATCTAATTTAAAATATATTATTAACAACTATAAGAAAAAATAGTACATTACATAATTTATAATATAAATAAATTAATAAATAAAATAAAATATTTGGTTATCAATGTATAAATTATTAGAATGGGTACCAATTTTTTAAATAACAATTTAATTTTTCAAAAATCTAATTTTTTAGATTTCTAGAATAAATTTAGTAGAAACGATTGTTAGTAGAGAGAGAGAGATTTCAACTGACGTCATTATATGAACTCTATCTTTAAATTAATATTCATAAATTTATGTTAAATACCACCATGTTATAAAAATAAAAAATATAATTAGATCATTTATTCCTAAGTAAAAAAAAAATCTAACGATAGGCATTCATAGATGAGAGAGAGAAAAAAAGCTTAACTTTACATATCTAATTTGTGATTATAATAATCACAACTTAAATGCGTGCATGAAAAACATGATACTTGTTGTATTATTATTATTTTTTTATTGACAAAAAATACTTGTTTTATTACCTTTTATTTTTTTTTTACAAGAAAAATATGATACTTGTATTACTTTTTATTTTTTATTTTGACTAGAAATACTTGTTGTATTACTTTTCATTTTTTTGGACAAGAAAAATAAGAAAAAAGATAAGAAATACTTGTTGTATTAAGAAATACCTTTTATTTTTTCTTGACAAGAAATATTTGTTGTATTACATTTTTTTTTTTTACAATACAAATATGATACTTGTTATATTACTTTTTATTTTATGAATAATGATCCTATGAGACCATCCCATACCCATGTGTGTAGGATTTCAAAGGATCACCATTAAATTTGACACAGACTTCTTAAAAAGTTATCACAAGGGTGTGAGATTTGAACTTTTTAAAAATCTGTGTCAAATTTAATAATGATCTTTTGGGGTCCTACACACATGGGTGTGGAAGGATCTCATAGGATTATTACTCTTATTTTATTTACAAAATAACAAAAAATAAAGATGGTGCAAGGAGTTTCGAACTAGGAACTAGGGATCTTCAAGTGGGTAAGAGAACATGATAACCAAATATACTACACACCGCTTGTTGTACTATAAATGTGAATAAATAGTTATACTATAAAGCAAACGTATATTAAAGAATTGTTTCACATCGAAAAGATGTAGAAAGAAGAAGCTCTAATAAAAAAAAAAAAACCAAGCTTGCTACAATGCATTATCAATGCGTGGCCATATATAAAGGGGTTGGGAAATATGACCTTGATATCCTCAGGCGAGTCGAGTCCGTTGCGACTCGCCAAATTTTAAAACACTGCTTTGTATGAAATCACTTTCTGAATTCTAATGCCGAGGAGCACGTTTTAAGCATGCGCATTCCAACATTTTTAACAAAAGAACAGAAATAATAAGGTAATAACAAAGTCCTGTAAGCCAGCTTCGCGAGTATTTCATTTCTTCTGAAAATCATACAAAGCTAAAATAAATGGCTCAAACATGCAATTAAGAACATTGTCTTAATATGCCAGAAGATCATTAATTTATAATATCTCCTCTCTCAACTTTAACATATGAATACTGGAGGTACCCAGCAATTTTAATTAACAGATCGCTAGGACCAGTGATTGAAATTTCGGCTACTCGGCCGAGTTGCCCAGCCTTGGGCTCGACACTAGGACCGGTGAATGAAAAATCGGCTACTCCGAGTTACTCAGGCTGGGGCCCTTGCCAAGCCCAAGTTGTCCTGAGTTAGGTATCCACCTCAAGGGCATTAAAAGAAATTATAAAAAATATTTAAAAATAAATAATTTATTTGGGATATGTTTTTTATTGCTTTGAAAAAAATTGAAAAGTGTTTGGCCATAAATATTTACTTTTACATTTTCCATCATTTTTTTAATTATTTCAAGAATACGCCCAGTCAGATTTTTTAAAATCAATGTTTTTTACTACTTTTATAAGGTGTTTTGCTTAATCATACATTAAACATACATTTCCTATTTTTTTTAAAAAAACATATATTTTCTATAATGTTTTGACGTTTTTATCTGCTACACTACTGGGAACTAATCGGGCCATAATCAGCTTGGGCCAGGTAATCGGTTGAGTCGCACTTCTAGCCCTGACTAGGACTAATCACCATAATATGGTAAAACAATTGAAAGGAAAAATATCTGATGGAAAAATTCCAAAAGCTCACAAATCACCATCCAAGTATCTGTTGTAAAACCAACCAAGATATTCGAATACATAAACTAAGCTCACAAATCACCTTCCAAATATCTGTTGTAAAACCAACCAAGAGATATTTCGAATACATAAACTAAACCCCAACTAAGACCAGACCAAGGCATTGAAAAAAACGCATGTTTTTCAATAATTCCAGGTAATACCGTTCTTTAATTCAGTCTGTCTCTCACTCTCTCGACATAAGATACAATATTATTCGAAAAAAAAAAAAATACAAAGAGAGAGAGCATTCTTTATTAGCACATGTTAAGTTTGACATGAGAGAGATTAACAAATCAAAAGTCATCATTGTGGCCATAACTAGGCTTTTACCACTCAATACAGTAACTATCTATAACACCAAAATACACTTTTACCACTAAGGGTCACTTTCTTGAAGATCAAATTCATCTCACAACCAATCATCCTATTCAACAAAGCTTGTTCACAGACACAAAAATGGAAACTGAAGTGTTTAATAAGACCTCCCACAGTGAATTAAGCTCCCAGCAGCAAGGAACACACTGAAGATGGCTGCACCTCCAACCGTATTCTGGCCAATATGTCTGATCTTCAAAAGTCCAGGAACCTGAGTTCATTTAGAGAATTTTAGAGACTAGAGGAGAATTGGCAATAAGGAAGCATGCTATTTCAAGGTTTTAAACATATGCAAATCCCCATGCATGCGAATCTGGAACAACTAAATAGAAGAATCTTCAGATTCAAGCATTTCAGGGTGTCATTTAAACAAAAAATGCAGAGCTCATGCTTGGTTGCTAAATGTAGTAGTAGAAGAAGTTCAAAGAAAAAGCAGTCCAAATTTGAATTTTATTGTTACAAGAAACTGTAGCTAGAGCAGAAACAGTTGTACTGGACGCCTATGCTGCACACATCTTGACTAAACAGTTGCAGATATTAGAAAGCTAAAAGACATTAAAACAATGTACTTGGGTGAGTCTTCTCAGATTCACCACAGCAACTTGGGATTGTCAGGGTGCCTTGCTATTTTGAATTAGAAGGTTAAAAGCAAAGGTGTTGGAAGTTTGACTATTAGAATTTCATTGTTGCTAGAATACCATAGAATGAGGAGAAGACTGACGTGCAGGACTGCCTAAGCTGCATGCAGCTATTCGAAAGCTAAAAGAGAGTAAAGCACTGTTTAAGTACTTGGGCAAGTTGACTTGGTTGTGTCAGAGTAACTTGGAATCAGCAGGGTGCCTTGCCCCTATAGAAGTTGATAAAAATATTTAAAATGGTCTTTATAATGCTTGATTAAATCGATTATCTAATTGATCTATTACTAGCTTCCTATATACTTATATGGTTCTGTGAGTTAATGATTTTTTCTAGCTTTCTCTATATTCCTTTTTTTTCTGAGAAAATTCTATTCAATTTTATTTTTTTAACTTGCAAAAAACTTTTTTGTTCTATAATCTTTTATAACTTTTCCCGCCGTTTGTACTTTCTTTTTCCTTTCCTGTATTTAGCAACATTTCACAACTTTTTCCTTTTTCTGGGAAGGGTTTTTTGCTTTTTCATCAGCTCAACGCAAACTCGAGCAACTCGCTTCAGACCAGGCCGAGTGACCCACAAGCACAGTTCAAAAACTTCATTTAAAGCATTTTTAGTATCGTAAAGTGAAAAGGAACAATAAATAAAGAAATGACACAGAGCAATTTGATTTAAACTTTCATGAAATCAAGCTCAAACAAGACAAGGATGATCTTTCTAGAGTACACACATAGCATGAAAGGGGGTGAAGACAAAAAAAAAAAATCAAAACCAACAAGAAAAGGTGAATTAGTTTTCCCACATGTTCTGTTTCTGGTACACACTAAAATGAAAGAGCCTTTTCGAAAGAACTAAGTTTGTACTAAACTTTTCTGAGGCATAGATCAAGCAGTGTTTGGAGAAGAGGAAAGGGGAGCTATTTCCTCATAAAAAAATGAAGATTTGAAGAAATCTAATGAAGACTAGTTTTGAAACTACATAGTTAGTGTCAATTTCTTTTCAAATATATAAGGTTAACAAAAATGAAAATGTGGAAACATCATGCCAAGACATTGGAAAATTTATGCGTGAAAAATTCAATAAATTGTAACATTTTCCATTTGTAACATTTTCTTATATCTTTAGCTTTTTGTACTAACTTTACCATATGTTTTGTGCACTTCTCCATATATTCCACCGACTCAAAAAGCTAGGCCCAAAAAGCAATATAACTTGAAACACTTCTACAAATCATGAAAACAAGTTAATGTTCTATCAACAAGTTATCATGACCCAGACCCAAGGAGTTGGAAACTCGGCAAATTCATAGAACTTGGATTAATGCTCCTATCAAACTTCAAATTTTCATTGCTTCGGAATACAAACCATAATAGGACAGTGCGTAATATGAATGAGATGATTGAATCAAAATAATCGAGAAAGAGATGATTGAATTAAAATAATCGAGAAAGAGATGATTGAATCAAAATAATTCTTTCTTAAGTTTAATTTCTGTCAGGGGGTAATATGAATGTTCTACCATGTTCCATCAACACAGTAAAAGGGATAAACGATCTAGCTGGTGTGGAAGTAGGCCAATATTTCTATTGGCAAATTGGGGGTTCCAAGTCCATGCCCAAGTATTTATCACTTCTTGAGTCGTAATTGCTCTTATTAGGAGCAATTAATCAATTGCAAATAACTTCCCGAAGGGTGGGCTTTGCCCAATACGTTCAATGACCACCAGTTGCTTTCTAGTAAAAAGGTTCCTTGCTCCTTTTGTTTTTGTTTTGTTGTTATAGCTTATTGCTTCACAGAGACCCTGATCACTCACTGTACTTCCTTGGAAGCCTCCTTCAAGTTCCTCGCCTCAAATGAGGAAGACTAGAAGGCAATTGCTTCTGCTTTCTGAGCCCTGAGCTGCCGCGTGTAAGGGAACCACACGAGTAAGGCGAAGACGAATCCGAGCTACTACCCCTGATCCTCGAGGGAGGACACCTACTGGAAGACCAATTCCATTGCTTGGCAAGTTTTTGAGGCCTGCGGCTCTCTTTCAATATCCCGGATATGTTAATTCCACCTATTTTGGTGGAATTGGCATTTTCACAGAAAAGGCTTACAACGTGGAAATCAGTCTCCATGTTGAAATGACACTCCCGGCTGGGGAGGGCATCCAAATAGCATTTACAATCCATTTCCATGGAAATGGGTCTCCAGGATATCCATTTCCAAGGAACCAAACGGGTCCTAAAAGAAATTGTGCCTTCAAAGTGAACTCCCATGCATCTAGTTATAGACCTGCTGCTCCATAAATACAACACCCCCTTTCCTTCATGACATGGGTTTAAATGCCTAACGTCATGTTCCCAAATACAAGTGTCCTCCAAATTCCAATTGATCAATGTGCTCGACCCAGTACTCCATTTTATCAAATCAAAGTTAGCAGTGATAGCAATAAAGATGCTTTCTAGTGGAGACAAGTCATTTGATTGAATGGCCACATACGTAACTACTTGGGCCAATCCTTGGAATTTCATAAATAACTTCCTCTTGATATCAATAGTTTCTCAAACGATGGCACATTTGGCATGTCTGTCCTGTACCTAACATCTAAACTGCATAATCTTTTTTATCACTGAAATATTTCAGCAAATTATCTCCAAAATCATACTTCATAACACCATATATGCATGTTAAAAAAATACAATCCCCTGGAAAGCTAGTATAGATAAATTTCAGTCAATGATGCTGTATCCACGGCCTGAAGCTTGATTCTGAGAAATGAAGACTTACTTCACTGAGCCATCATGTTGGTAGGTATTGAAGAGATACTTTGTAGGAACTCCAGTTAAACGGGAAAAGAATGCATAACAAAAAGAAATAGGGAAAGATACACATATGTGCCCGCAATCTTACTAGCACACACGAACATGTGTCTACATATATATTCGTGTATGTGCTCATCCATGTATTGTATGTATATGTATGTGTTTACGTAACCTCATAATGTTTATTTGTTGAGCATGGGCAATACATCTAAACAATAGCTACGGCCTCCAATCCTTATCCTCAACAGTAACTACCCCAACCTCATAATGGACTAATATAAACCTAAATGATGCAGACCACTTCTAGATGGTGAAATTTTCTAATTTTCTAGGGATAATAAGGGCTAAGTTGTATTTAGTAGTTCTAAGTTAGATTCAGATTAGTTCTTGGGTTCTATGAAGAGTCTCAGTTGCCTAGGTCCCTTTTTTGTCAGCGACATCTTAGTTGTTTAGGTTTCCTTATGTAAGTTGATTTAGGTTCCTAATTGTGTTTGAAGCCTTAATCAAGATTAGGACTGGATCCAGTCCAAGTAAGATAGGAGTAGGAGCCAAGAGGTATCTTCATACATGTAAAGTGCCAATGGCCAGACAATGATCGATTCCACAAAACACAATAACTGCCCCCTTCTGCCAATCCATAAGAATCCTAAAACTAACCTAGTCACATAATCCATCATCAACCCAAATATCCTTCATCCTGCTTACAAACCCTTTTCCTTAACATCATCCCACTTACCCAAACCCCAGTTTCACCAAACCAACTACACTGTGGTCCTTACATCACTACAGCACATGCATTCTCTGAAAATACAAATCTGTTGATTATTCAGAAATGTTTTCATTACTGACACTTTCACCTCCTGCATTTATTTATTTATTTATTTTGGATCAGGTACATTTTCACGACCCTGCATATTTAGGATTTTCGAACAACAAATGAGTAGACGAAGATACCCAATTTTCTTTCATATTGGACTGCCATAGAAGCATGTGGCACACATATACAATACAAATAGCATGTATCCATAAAGCAATATTTTGTTCACCCAAAATGTATTCTACCTTCTTTTAAACAAATCAAGCATACATCCTTTTTTATCGGTCTAAGTTGCAAAATTTCTGTCTTTTTCAAACTAACTAAGCATGCATCTTATCAATGGAAGCCTAAGAGTTTAGCCTTTCCTTATGCTAATCAAGAATACACTTTATCAATTGAAGTCCTAAAAATTAATCCCATATGATGAAAATTAAAAGGGTTCAGCAACTGCACCTTGTACCTGATAGCATCTATAGTCCCAAAAACAGCACCTGCATTAAAATATAATCATATATCATCATACAAAATCCCTGATCATATTCAAGTAAAATAAGAGAACTCAGACAAGAAAAAGGGAAAACACGAATGTTGATCAACTCTTTCCTTGAATTCTGTATTGGTTGATAATAAAACAAACTCGTAATTAACATGTACGCCCACTCCCCATAATCATATTGTCTCCAAAGTCTTCTTTTAGACATACCTCTAAAATATACCCCCAAAAAAAGCAATATTTGTCATTGTATCTATAGTCCAATAAGCTCCTGTAGTATAAAAACCACTGATTATGCTTCATATGGTGAACATTTTTCAGTAGGGTTCACACAATCAATATGGTGAATATTTTTAATTGACTTATCGCCATTTATGAATAATATGAATACTCATAAATCCTCAATTCCATTTTCTGTAAAGATCATCTCACGAAGAGAACCGATGAATACAAAATCCAATATTTTTTCCTCTCAATAAGCGAGAATTTATTATCAAAAAAAAAAAATCCATGCTCTGATAAAAAGAAATAAAAAAAAGTGAAGGTTCCAAGTACAAATTTCAACTAGAAAGACCCAAAAGGGAGGGGGAGGGGGAGGGGGAGGGGAATGAGTTCATTCCTGGGGTATCTGTAAAAGAAACGATGAAGCATTTCTAGGGTTTCTTACCAAAAGCGCCACCGATCGCCCCGCCCATTGCAGCCCCTGCGGCCACTCTAGAAACGCAACTATTATCCCTCGCCATTTCTGAACTCTCTCTCCCTCTCTAGGTCACACACCGCAATCACCCTCTCGCTCTCTCTCTCGAACTTTGCTGCTCGCCGCACGTCAAAGGGATTTCAATTTATTTGGATTGTAACCCCAAAGAGCCCACGGCTCTTTATCTAACGCATCCACGTAATCCATACTTCCCAGGTTCCCCTAATGCGAAATCCATTGAAGGGCAAGTTTTCCAAGCCACGCATAAATTACATGTGACCCCGCTTCACAGCCCTTTGATCTAAATCGGTGGGCTAGGATTGTTCATATCACCATGTCCTATGTCAGAATGTTATTTAATTTTAAATTTTTTGACAAAACATTTTTTTGGCTGAAATATAGGGCATCTCATTATTTGGCGCATCTACGAAGAAAATATATTTTTCATAAAAGTAAATAACGAAAATGCCTTTGAAAGTGTTAAAGGTATAGTAATTTTTAGGGGAAAATTATGTAAATATTCATTTAAGTTTATGTTATTATTAAAATATCGAATACTTATTATTGTTTGTTTTTTTAACTGCATAATATTTTTAAAAAAAATAAAGACAAAACTACTCATTTTTCATTTTTTAAAATCTAAAAATTTTAAAAATTCGATTTAAAAAAAACAGACAAAGAGAAAAAAATGATAGCTGTGGGAAACAGGCGTAGGCCCAAATTATCGGTTCTTTGGCTTTTGAAATTGTAGGCATCTGAAAGCCACTTTCAAGAGAGAGAAAGAAAAGGAAGGCCTCTCTCTCAACATTTCATGATTACATGGCTTCAAAGCGGCTTCTCTCTCCTCTCTTTCTCTCTCCACTCACACATGGGACTGTGGCTTCCATTTGGAAATATAATAAGAAATAATCCAGTGTCCGGAGACCTGTCAAATGTTCGCCATCAATTTGTATAGTCTTTTTACATTTACTTGTTCATCAAAATGTACGGAATCAAAATTGAAAACAAGAATTTGTCAGTCCGTGAAAATGGCGAACCCCAACTAAAAATAATAATAAAACCAAGAGATGGACAATGGGGTGGCTTTGGCACGAAAATTTTCGGTTTTTTTAAATCAGAAAGTAAAAAAAACATTTGGGCTTTGAAAAATCGAAAATGGATATTTTTGTTTTTTTAAAAAAATTGTTATGTAGTCAAGAAATAGGCATATCAATAATAACGGAAAGTATTCGGTATTTTAGTAATAACAGAAACTAAAACGAATATTTACGTAAATTTTTCAAATTTTTATCTCAATAATAATAATAATAATTACTATTATTATTATTATTATTATTATTATTATTATTATTATTATTATTATTATTATTATTATTATTGTTGTTGTTATTGTCATGTGTGCTCCTCTCGATTGTATCATGCCCCAAATTTTGTTGGATAATTATTTATAAAAAGAAAAAATAAAATAAAAAACTCTGATGCTCAAGAGACAGCTTGTGACATTGTTACTCAAGTCATCTCAACTATCTACTCAAACAAAGTTTTTCCTTTATTAAAACTAGTAAAATGCATGTGCGATGTATGTGATATTAAATATTAATCACGAAAATAATTCAATGAATTCATCTTCACAATATAATATTTTATCAAATAATTATGAACTTTATATGAAATATTATTTTTTTAAAAATGACACTATGAGACCCTCACACATGCATATGAGTAGGGCTCTAAAGGTTCACCATTAAATTTTGGCACAGATCTCTAGAAAAATTATTACATGGGTGTGGGATTTGGGTGAATGGGTTTTTCTAGAGATGTGTATCAAAATTTAATGGTGACCCTTTGGATCCTACTCACATGGGTGTAGAAGAGTCTCATAGTATCATTACTCTTATTTGAATATATAATTAATTAATGCATATAATAATATCGTCTATAATATTATTTAATAATTGTCTACAAAAAACCATTTATCTTTGATACGTGGACTGCACAATCATTCACATGCATTAGATATCAAATTAGATGGCTTGGGTTGAATCACAAAATCCAATAATTTTATATTTAAAACTTAGTGTCTATTCAATAACACACTCTCACAACCATCAATTTTGAAATTAAAAAAACAAGAATGATTGTGAGTACAAAAGATAAATGTCTCTGTGCATGCAATCCCTATTATATAAACGTATTTTATTATTTGATAATTAATAATACATCTACTATAGGTTGTCAGTAAATAAATATTATATTTATGACATATTTATATGTGTATTGGTACAATAATACAACAATAGTAATAAAAACAATTATATGGTTAAAGTTCATATTAGCAACTGAATATTAGTATAAATAATGAATTAATTAGGAGTTGTTAATACTTCAATTATCTTAATATACCAATTATAATTAAAGTGATAAATCTTATAATGTTACAAATTTATAAATTATTTTAAAAAGCATGAAATTTCATAAGTCATCTTTTTTTGGGTAGGTAAATCTCATAAGTCGTAATCATGATCATCATCATCATCCAAGCCTTAAGAAGCATGATATCTCACAAAAAACATTTTGATAAATTTTCCTTCCTTTAATGTAGTGGTTTAAAAATTGCCAAGTCAGCACGGACTCGATCGATTTGACACATGAATTGGTCACCCTGTGTCGATTCTAGCTCAAACCAGTAAATCGTGCTTAGAAAGGAACTGGACGAGTCAGGCGATTTTGCTACAGTAGATTCTCCAATTCCACTGAGTTTCAACGATGAACAATGAAAGTTGAATAATTTGATCTCGATGATCAAACTTTGAAGTTTTTGATCAATTATTTGAGCAAAATCGAATATTTGCAACCTTCATAGATCACTTTACAATCTTATTGATCATTAAAAACGAAACCACCATTGATTTGAAGCCATGAATTCAAGGTTTTGTGAACATAAACCGTTTTGAAAAAAATCCACCATTTTATCGATTGCAAACGAAATAAGGCAAGATTTTATATTAAATCAAAGGATTTTTTTATCTTAATAGTATCATTGACAAGAAATTGTAACATATTTTTGGGTTTTTTGGTCGATTACTGGTGGATTTGTGATTTGATCTCACGATTTCTGAAGAACAGGTAAGGGTTTCAAAATTTATGCCATTTCATCAATTGTAGACCAAATAAGGCAAGGTTTTTTTATCAAATCAAAGGTTTTTTTATCTTAATAATGTTATGCATATGATATTGTAGCCTATTTTCGGTTTTTGTTGTCGATTACTGGTGTATTTGTGATTTGAAGTCACAGTTTCTGAATAACAGGTTAGGGTTTTCATTTTTCCGCCATTTCATCGATTGTAAACAAAATAGGGCACGATTTTTTATCAAATCAGAGGTTTTTTTATCTTAATAGTGTTATTCACAAGATATTATATCCTGTTTTTGGGTTTTTTTGTCAATTAATGATGTATTTGTGATTTGAAGTCACGGTTTCTCATGAACAAGTTAAGGTTTTATTTTTCCACCATTTCATTGATTATAGGCGAAATAGGGCTTGATTTTTTATCAAATCAGAGCATTTTTTATCTTAATAGTATTATTCACAATATATTGTTGGGGTTTTTGGTCGATTAATGGTGTATTTGTGATTTGAAGTCACAGTTTCTCAATAACAATTTAGGGCTTCTTTTTTTTTTTTCATAAAACAAATTATTTCAGCCGAATTAGGGTATCATTGTGAATGATTTCATAGGATTTTTGAAGCTAATGATGTTATTTAGATAATTGTTATTGTTATTTGTGTGATCAACAAAGTTTTGTTGATCGAATTTTGAAAAAATCGTGATTGTTGCTGTTCACATGCGATTTTGAAGACTATGGCCTGAATTTTGAGAGTGTTCTTTGAGTAATTAATTTTAAAATAAGTTGCTGATTAAATTGTGAATTATATTCAATTGATTGTCAATTTATAATTATCATGTGAAAATAACTTGTATTGTTCAACTTTATTGTCAATTATTTAATGCAAATACATATTGTAAAATTTTACGGTTCTTTGACTAATTAATTTTAAAACTATTTGTTGATTAAAACTGTGAATTAATCTCAGATGCTCACTAATTTATGTCATTCAGTCCTAGATCGAGTAAATGAATTGTCACGCAAATTCAATCAATGGCACCAGTGTGACCAAGATAAAGAACAACATCGTCTTTATTGTAGTTCGTATATGATTATATACTTCATCCATGAGAATTCTATGCTTCTCCTTTCGTGTGATGTAAATTTATTAGTTAATAGTAGTTCATACAAGGAAATAACTTCTCAATATTCACATATTAATGCAAAAAAATGAAACTTGCTAATGTAGTATCCCTATTTCTTATTGAAATCCTAAAAGACAATATTTATAATGATTTTTAATAATTTTTTTAGATTTTTTTTAAAGGCCAAATCCAACTGATTCTCAATCTGAAACACCGATTCACTGATCCATATGGGTTTTTGGGGTGCCAATCTGGGGCACCGATCCGTTTTTTAAATCATTGCTTTAATGACATGGTATGGTTGTTACTAGGCTTTCAGCAAATTGATTTTCTCATGTGGCAAGATGTTTGAAATTATATTAAAAAATTAGTCTTTTTTTCTAATGTCCTATTTTCAAAATTGCTTTCACAATAATCTAAAAAAATGATACTTTTAACAATTTATAAAAGAAAAAAGTATACAATACAAACTATTTATCTAGAGGTCACAATCATCGTTGTCTTCTAAATGTGCAGTCGGAAGGTTTTGGGTATGTTTTTAACCCTGCTGAAAATGTAAAAAATAAATTATTGAGCTCTGTGACACATCGCATACTAACAGATTTCACATCCAATAGCTTAGGGCCAGTGTGGCCTTATTATTCCATGCACATCGTCAGTAAACAATCTCAATATTCAAACAATTCATTAATTAGAAAGTAATATTTATCCAAAAAGAATTTTCTAAATTAATTCTTCACAATGGAAGTAACAAAATAGATGGTATCTACCATAAACAATAGTAAAATTAAATTTACAAGTTATTATTAATAATAGTCATTTCCATTGATATGGTTAATTAGTGAGACTAACTAAGCAGTCGTTGACTTCATTAAGCTCTCCCTCTCTCTCAAAAACAGAAAAGATATGATCCTTTGGCATAAACAAGGCTCTTTCTCAACATAATGCATCAATGGGATAACATATATGACCCTTTGGCATAAAGAAAG